TGCTTCTCCCTCTCCTTCTGCCACTCCCCCTGCTTGTGCTCTCTCTCTCTGACAAATAAATAAAATCTTTTTTAAAATCCAAGTTTTTTCCAAGAAAAAACTTTTCCACAGAAAAATAATATATGTCATTTAAAAAAAAAAAAAAAAAAAGGAAGCCCCTGAAGAAAAAGATGCACTAAAGGGGGAGAATGGCACCAACTCTAAGTTCTGGTAGGTTCCTGGGGTGACCTGCTGCTACCAGGCAGCCTGGCACTTCTCAGACTCTTCCCTGTTCTGCACGGGGTGGGGGGGCAGGTTGGTGGCATCCTTGGCATTCTTTCTTAACCCATCATGGCCCATATATCCCAAGGGACACGCCAACCCTTCACTGCTCTCTATTCTGGGGGTGCAGGGGGTGGAGCAGGAGAAGCACAATAACAAAGTGGAGAGAAAGAAGGGTCAAGAAAGTCAGCTCTAACTCCAGTCTCCTGCTCCTCCTCCCAAAGAACATTTTTATTTTGTGCTAGGTCCCACAAATTATGTTCTTGTGACCCCATTCTTTTAAAAATTTAGGCATCAGGACCACACAGGCTCCATGTCAGTACAGTGTCTTACCTCTTTGTGGTGTATCCCATCCCAAGCATTATCACAACAGGGCACCAAAGTTTAAATAGTGATTGACCTTCAAGTCTACGGTCCTTCCTCTAGGAGGTAGGGCACGTGGAAAAAGGATTTCTTTGGATTCCCTCACAGGCTCAAGGCAGCAACAATGTCCAAACAATGCCAGCCACGAAGCGTGGGCTTCTCATCAGTCACAGTCCACTGACACACTCACAGGCCAAACTGCTTCTGGAATCTATCAAACATCCTCCTGAGTAAACAGACCAGGGCTAATTGGACAAAAGTGACCAAGGAATAATTATATCACTAAACTTACATAATTAAGAACTTATTCCCGTCGGTCTCAACCTGCAAGTGCCTGAACCAGCAGCAGCAGCATCACCTGGGAATTTGTTAGAAATATCCAATCTCAAACCCACTGAATCAAATTCTGGGGATGGGGCCCAGCATCTTGAGTATTAATAAACTATGCAGGTGATCCTGATGGCATGGAGAACCACTGGTTAATTAGAAATGGAGGAAACGATATCTTCTGGTTGCATCAATTATAATAAATGTCTTCCACCCATTCAACCTACAAGAAAAAAGTTACATTTTTTCATTCATTCATTTACTTCAATCATAATTGCTTTATGCATATGCTAAATACACTCCCGTGTGTGTGTGTTTAAACCGTTCAAGTGAGTCAGGCACTGCAATGGACATAAGGATAATGGTTTGTGCCATAAAAGGGCTTATAATCCAATGCAGGGAAAGATGAGAGGCAAATTCATAAACATGAACAGCTCTGCCCAGAATGCCAGATGAGAAGTATGAGAAAGTGCAGCATGCATTTGGCCAAGAGAGAGATTCCACAGAGCTTGTTGGAGCAGGGTTAGGGAAAATTTAATGAATGCACAGTGCAGCTAGAATTTTGGTGTGTCATGAATGGGGAAAAGAATCTTCCAGGCACAAGAAGAACATAAAGACATGAAGTGGAAAAGAATAGAGTATGTTACCAGATGAGCATGTACTTCTGTGTTGAATGAAGATTCCGTGAAAAGGATTAATCTGAGAATGAGTCAGAATAGTGTGAGGTCGACTTTGGGAGGGAGGACCCTGAGTTCGGGGCAGAGTTCTGGCTTTTCATAGAGTGAAAAGAGAGGCCGGAGGCCTATAATGGAGGCAGGTAGCACAACCTTCTCCAAATCCTTGCTTTGCTGGCCACATCGCCACTGTAGGATCCCACTGCAAAGCAGGCAAGCCCTCGGAGAGTCTGTTTTCACAAGGAGAAAAGCATCTTTGTCCTTTTATTCCACAGATAAAATGAGATGGGCGGAAGTGGGTGTAGAACCATTTGGAGCCAGAGCCACGTTGTCAGGCCCAGCCCTGGGAAACCAGGTGTTTCTTCATGACTTCTGCCAACTAGTGCGCAGGGCACTGTATATTGCTCTTTTTTTTTTTTTTTAAAGACTTTATTTATTTATTTGACAGAGAGAGACATGCAAGAGGGAACACAAGCAGGGGGAGAGGAATAGAGAGAAGCAGGCTTCCCACAGAGCAGAGGAGCCCGATGCGGGGCTCGACCCCAGGACCCTGGGACCATGACCTGAGCCAAAGGCAGACGCTTAACCAACTGAGCCACCCAGGCGCCCCTGTATATTGCTCTTTTATTCTTTCACATCAGAATCCTCTGTGGGAATGGTTTGGAGTTGTGTTTTTTTTTTTGTTTTTAAGTTAAGAGTAATTTGTAGTTTGGAAAGTTTCCTGAGCAAGGCTATGTTTAAGCGTCCACTTTTAGACACCAGACTTGCAGCTCATCTCTCCCCACCCTCGATCTCCCGCAGCCACAGGTCTCTTTAAATCCAGGAGTGGGAGACGTCCAAGAAATCATGATGGGCCCTGGGGCAAGGGAGGACTACTGTTTGTTAACTACCTTTCTAGCTGTTTCTGCCAGTTTCACATGCTCACTCTCCCCGACTTTTCTAAAGCGACAAAGAAATGTGGGCAAGTAAATTACAAAAAGCTGGACGGTCAATTAAAAAATATGTGCGTACTTAGAAAAAATCCATCTCTTTTGAATGCTAGTTTCTTAAGGGCAAAGACCATCTAAGGTTAATCCTGTATAGCACTTAAATGATTATTAAGTAATTTGATGCTTTGAGGGCCTCATTTAAGAAGTAATACAAAAATAGCTGGGGGAATGTAAATTAGTACCACTTCTATGGACAGCAAGCTGGCAATATCCCTCAAAACTTAAAATACATGTACAAAGTGAGCTGAAAGTTATACTTCTAGGACTGTGTCTTACAGATCTACTCAAACAGGCAAACTGGTTCTGTACAAGGTTATCCAATAAAATATTGTTTGTACTAATAATTTTTTAAAAGATTAGAAACAACCAAAATGACCATGAATAGAGAAGTGGTTCAATAAAGTATAACCATAAGATCCTTGGCAACTGGAACAAAGAATGGGGAAGCATTCTATGCATGGGTATGGAGATACATCCATGGTAATATATGCCATTTTTGACAAAAGAGGAAGGCAGCACAGTGTGAAGAGTATATTACCATAAAAAATCAGAAGAAAGAGTTTATATATATTTGTTTGCTTATACAAAAAACATACCCAAAAATATATAGTACGAAAGAAACATAACATTGGCAACTTCCAAGGGAAGGGAACTTGGGGACTGGGACATGGGTTGGGGGAGAGTTTTCATTCCATACTTGTTTGTTCCTTTTGCATTGAGAGCTGCATGGATGTATTAATCAATTTTTTAAAAATGAAGGAAAATAAGATTTCTAAGCATGCTTAAAAAATAAGTAAATTGTTAGCCCGAAAAATAAAGTAGAAATTCCAATTTTTCTTTAAAAAATCATTCTAAAAGACTATCAGCTTTGAAGCTCTTTCTCTTAAAAGCTCAAACTTCTCCACTCAAAAAAAAAAAAAAAAAGTGGTTTTGTTTGTTTTTTATCCTGCTAAGAAAAACAGGCTGAACCAACTAACCTTCTTTACCCTTAATCCAAAGACATAAAACCAAAGAGATGAGCCAAGGAGGAAAAAGTCATAGGAATAGAGATCATGAAAAAGGAGGACAATATATGGAAGTGTGAATCGGGAAGTGACAGTAAACCAAGGGTTTATTCTGATGTTCTTGTTTCAGATATAGATGTTATCAGACTTAGTAAACTATATGCCACACGGAAGTGCATAAAATAATCCATAATCCATCAAACAAACCAATTGCTCAATAAAAAGTAACCAGTCACTTACTCAATAAATGCACAGTTTTGTACTGAAACTGAAGAGAAAACACCATGACATGAAATGAATAACTGAGTCAACAATAGCTTTATAGTAATCATAATAACTTCACACAGCTATTATTTATAGTATCTTTAAATGTAGGCAGGAGTCATAACAACAGAACATAATTAAATAAAAGCCATGTACAAGGGACCAAAACAATGGAATTCACACAAACAGCCCTGAGAGGATCTGTTTAAGTTAAGGATGGATTGTAGATCATCTGAAGAAAGGAAGGACTGCATATTCTTCAAGCTGTCCTCCATAAATATTACTCTTCTCAGAGGGCTTTTGCTTCATACTAAGTGGCTGTGAATATGTTATACTTCCTGACAAATGCCTGGAGACATTCTCTGGTGTTGACATAGGACAAAATGATAGGTTTTAATCATCAGCAAAGCTAGAACTGAATTAACATCCTTTAACAAAAGCTGAAGACACTTCCAGTCCCATGTGGAAATAGATCTAGCTACCACTGCATAGAAGTGAGCCTACGAGAGGGTCAAGATTTCCCTTAAGAACGTTATAGGCCCATTCCAACATATGCATTAATGGTGGACTGATGCTCAAAATGTGACCAATGTTTAATATTTTTACCTATAAAAGATAAAGACATGTATTACCAAATAGTCATTTTTAAAAATATTTTATTTACTTATTTGTCAGAGAGAGAGCATACAAGCAGGGGAAGCAGCAGGCAGAGGGAGAAGCAGGCTCCCCACTGAGCAAGGAGCCCCATGCAGGACTTGATTCCAGGGCCCTAGGATCATGACCTGAGCCGAAGGCAGACACCCAGCCAACTGAGCCACCCAGGCGTCCCCATCTTAGTCATTTTTTAAAGCCAGAAAGGCACCCAGAAGACATTTAAATTTGAACAAATGGCTTCATGGTAAAAGACCAAAAATAAACTGGTCACAAAATGCATGTCTTGGTGACTAAATCAGTTGACTTGCAGTACATGGGTGTAAGCAAAAAAACAGTTAAATGTTAAAGGATGCTTAAATAAGAAAGCTGATTTGGCTTTATTTTATCTGAAGTTATTCTTTCTGGCAGTGTATCAGTTAGAATAACTGATTCAGCCTCATATAACAGAACAACCAAAATAACAGTGGCTGAAACAAGAGCATTTTATTTCTCTCTCACATGAAAGGAATCTAGAGCTAGGCAATTGAGGGCTGGTACGGTGGCTCCATAGTCATCAGACTCCAAGTTTCTTCCTTTTTCCTCAACATCTTAGCCAACACAAAGGGGGTTCCATCTTCAAGGTCACCTGCACAGTCCAAGATGGCAGCTGCAGTTGAAGAAGGGGGAGGGGCACACAACTCCCAACTGAATGTGAGGAAATACAACTAAAAACAAAATCTTCTCCCAATCCAGAAATCCTCTCCACAAAGGTAGTAAAGAAAGAAAACAATTTTAATATCGAATAAGCATTAAACCAGAATGTGGTACACATCACAGGGAATCTGATAAGAGATTGCAAAGGCAGAGAGAAATCTCACCCTTCAGCCACATAGTCGGGCAGATACAACCCATTATGTGTATGTTCTCAAGATAAACAGTAACTAGTCCTTAAGTCGTAAGACTTAACAGCACCATTTTATTTCACATAGTTCGTCCTAAATTTACCTGGCAATTGAAGTGCCCATCTGTGCTAGTTAACTGACAAAGGAAAAACAAACTTCTCATATTTTTTTGGGACAGAAGGTAGTTTTACAACTGGGAGCCAGGTCAGCTAAAGTGAGGCTCCTGCCCTCCTCCTGAAACTTGGAAATAGGGTGCTATCTTCCTTGGATGTTTACATGGAAAGGACATGGTTCCCGAGTTCTTGAGAAAGGCATTCCTGAGTTGAAAAGCTGACAAAAGGCCTATCTAGTTTCCATAAAAATTTATATGCAGTTCAAAGAGAAGAGAAAGCACTTCTAATTATAAGTTTCTAAAGGAAATGCTCTAAGAAAAAGAGGGGGAGGAAAATCTCTTCCCTTGTTTTCAACAGGGAGAATTAAACCTCTTACTTTTAATTTGTGTTTGTCCATATATGTGTCAACAGCTTTGAAGGGATGATCTTGTTTAAAATAGCAACAAAAATGTCAGAACACCTAAGAATTACTTAAGAAATGAACAAAAGCTAAAGGTAGAAAAATTAAAAACCCTCTGAAGAACACAAAAGAACTGATCAAAAGGAAAGGCATACTTTGTTTTAGTACGAGAAAAAACTCAATATTATATAAATGTCAATTATTCATAAGTCTTTTTATCCTTTCAATACAATAAATAAGAACCTTTTTTTAACTAGACAAGATAGTGCTGGTGTACATTTTTAAAAAGGACATAGGCAAAACAGGCAAGAAAAAGAACAATGAAGGGCAATGCAAGAGGACTGGAACTTCTAGATGTTGTCTATTATAAAACCTTAACAGTTACAGTAGTGTTGTCTGGCTCATGAATAAACAGACCAAGTCACAGAATAAAATGTCTAAAAATAGATCAAAATACATAAGAGGATTAAGGATAGCTATTCAGATCAGTAGCAGAAAAGACAAGCTATTTAATATATGCTGCTGGGACAATAAAATAAAATAAAAATATTTTATTTACTTATTTGTCAGAGAGAGAGCGTACAAGCAGGGGAAGCAGCAGGCAGAGGGAGAAGCAGGCTCCCCACTGAGCAAGGAGCCCCATGCAGGACTTGATTCCAGGGCCCTAGGATCATGACCTGAGCCATCAGGTAGCCATGGGGGGGGTGGGGTAAATTAACATAGAACCCAAATTTCACAATGCACACCAGAAAAAATTCTTAATGAATCAAAAAATGAAATTAAAAAAAATAAAACCATAAATGTACAGAAGAAAACAAGGAAAGATCTTTCTGATGAAGACTCCAACATTCAGAAATTTTAAAAGAAAAACAAAATGGGGGCACCGGGGTGGCTCGGTCTGTTAAACATCTGCCTTCGGCTCAGGTCATGATCTTGGGGTCCTGGGATCGAGCCCTGCATCAGGCTCCCTGCTCAGTGGGGAGCCTGCTTCTCCCTCTCCCTTTGTCCTTCTGACCCCCACCCCGCTTGTGCTCTCTCACTCTGTTCTCTCTCTCAAATAAATAAGTAAAATCTTTTTAAAAAACCAAATTGATAAGTTCAACCACATAATCAAAACTTCTGTGTGATAAAAACCAGAGAATCAAAAACAGAAAGCCTATAAACAAAATCAAAACAAATGACAAATTAGTAAAGATATTTGAAATGTATTGTAGATAAAGACCTAATATTCCTAAAATATAAAGTGTGTTTCAACAAATAAGAAAAAAGGTAATACAAAATGGATAAAGGATATAAGTAGATAATTCACCAAAAAGGAAATATAAATGGGTCTCAAATATATGAAAATGACATGCAATGTTCCTCAGAATATAAGGAATACAGATTAAACTGTCATTTTTATCTGTTGGATGTATTAAAAAACCAAAAGTTTGATAATACACAGTGTTGATTAAACTGTGGAAAAAGGAGCACTCTCATAAACTGGTGGGACTATAACTTGGTACAACCCCTAATGGAATGTAACTGGACAACATCTACAAGAATAACAAATTCATAACATACTCTTGGAATTAACAACTCCAAATTCTAACTTTTTATTTTACAGAAATACCTGCACATTTGTAAAGTGGTATTTGTACACAGTTACATGCTGATGCAATTTTTTTAACAGCATAAAACTGGAAACAATCCAAAACAATATTGTGCAGCTATAAAAAGAATGAGGAAGCTATTTATGTACTCTTATATAATTATCTGCAAAATATATTAATAAATATGAAAAAAGGATGTAGAACAATTTGTATACTATGCTGCCTGCCATTTATATAAAAAGGGCAGAGAATAACATTTGTATTTACTTATATATCATAAAGTTAATTCTCATTTCTCTCCCTCCCTCTCTCCCCTACAAAAAGTGCAATAAAAATTTCAGGATTAATGAAATAAATGTGGTTACCTTATTGGAATGAGGGTGCCAACTGGGACAACAAGGGAGAATGGGATGGGAAGGATACTTCTCAGTGCACAGAATTTTATAGGTATTTTAATCAAGCAGATCTATTTTTTTTTTTCAAATTTTTATTTAAATTCTAGTTAATTAACACACAGTGCATGTTATTATTTTTAAAATAACAATTAAAAATTTTAAATAGGATCTCTATTAAGCACATGCAAATTAGGCCATAATTAAGTCTGTTTTGAGTCAAAGCTGAAAAAAAGTAAATTAAAATCATAAGTGTCTATATTTTTCTAAAACATTTCTATACCTAATTCGGTAGAAGGCCAGGAGTAGAAGTCCTGGGTCTAAAGCCTTTTTATTGAATGTTTATCTGGGAAGGTCAGATTTATAGTGTATCAGGAAGGGAACAGGCATGTGATTTAGATATTTCCATTTAGTTAACATATTTATAATGTAGTAAAATAAATTACTTTCTCAATTCAGTCAGATGGAATTACATTGGGTAAAACCGATTTTAAAAAGAAAAAAAATTTAGTTGGCTAGGATTTGATCACGCCTACTTAGAATCTTCCCAGGGTACCTTCTTTGAGATTTTTAAGTTATGTATAAAATACAAGGAAGCATACATGACACCCTGCTGGAAAGCCCTCAGCATCTACAAAGTTATGACGATTGACCTAATTATTATGTTTGGTAAAAGAGAGCCTTCTAAGAACTGAGGTTCTACAGCCTCACTCACATAATTTGTAACTCAGGTAAGTATTTCACAGAATTTGCCCAGATCACTAAATCTAATCATCTTTCCACATAAATTTTTTTAGACCTGAGTTTTTGTTTCCTGAGCCAATGAAAAGCTTCACATGAAAAATATGAATCCAAGGATGCCTGGGTGACTCAGTTGGTTGAGTGTCTGATGGGCTCAGGTCACAGTCCTGC